ACCCAGGCACTATCACTGCTGATTCCTCTGGATGTTAGGGATGAGCTCCCAGTGTATGCAGTGATCTCCCAGAACTACTGCCGGGAAAGACAATGAGGTCAGTGTTTTCCTGCTCTCTAACTATGAGGCAAGAGATCTTGTGTCCTGTAGCTCTCAACTCAGTAGTGGAATCAGACTAATCAGGACATGAGATGGGAGTGGGTGGTATTAGAGGGATAGGGTAGATGGTATTGTAGAATAGGGTAGGTGGTATTGGGAGATGGAAAGGGTGGCATTGGGGGTTGGGTGGACGGCATTGGAGGGCTAAGGTGATGTCATCATAGGGATGGGGTAACAACAACAAGGAACCCATGTCATGTGTAGTCCACAGTAAAAGGAAAGTTTCCCTTACTCCACTCCACAGTGACGGGGCTCTGCAGGCTGGGGTGCTCCACGTGGCAGGTGTAGACATCTCCCCGCTGAGGGGTCATCTCCAGCATCACCAGGACCTGGTAAGTCCAGTCCCCGTTCTGAATAAGCTGTGTAGACTCAACCCCCTCCGTCTGCTCCTGGCCATTCCGGAGCCAGTGCACTTTGATGTGGGCCGGGTAGAAATCTGTCACCGAGCAGACCAGCCTGTTGTGGTGGTTGAGGACCTCTGTCCTGGACAGGTAGATGGCCACCTTGGGCTGCTCTGGGGAGCAGATGAGAAAAGATGGTGAGTGAGATGGGGGCACGTAGAGGGTCCCCATGGGGAAGAGGCAGGTGGGGATGCCTGGGCCTGAACTCTAATATTAAATGAAGACCAACTCCACAAATATAAACTCAGCAGTCACTAGGAAAAGAAGAGTGAGTGGCCCTGCTCTTGCATAACACGAAAAACTGGTTGTGATTTCTTCAAGTTTACAATTTTTGAAGAAAAAAACTTTAAAAATAACTCCAGTACATTACTTCCTTCACTTAGACTGACATGCACAATCGCACAGACATCTTTCCTAACTGACTTTATATATACATCATGCCAGCTACACCAGAAGCCTGCTGGCTGTGTGCCCTCATCCCTTCAGGGTGAAAACAGCATACATACTTAGTGTGTTCTCTGAATTGAGGACACGCTAGATCGCTCATTTTCTCCCCCTTCCCATTTTCTTTCCATAGTCCAGTGTGTTAGTTACTGCTGCCTTCACTGTATTCCCTTGCTGTGAAGAATTTAACTGTCAGAACTTAACAACGGACTGTTTCAGTCAAATAACAAGGTTACCCGAAAAGCATAAGAAACCTTGAGTTAACCATTCATATATTAGTAATGTATGATATTAAATCTGAACACGATGCTTCTTTAACATGCCTCCAAGGGGCTCTCG